TGAGCCCTCCGGGCACTCCAGAAACAGTGATTTTAACAGGGCGTAAGAGCAGACAATTCTATTCTTAGACAAGTAACTCATTTTTGGTCTCAATTCTGAGAACGGAAACCTTACCCATTCTTGTATTCAAACAAGTGACTTCGTCTACTTGGCGGCTCTCCCTCCTGCTTGCAGGGCGCGGCGACCGAGACCCTCCCAGGGTCCCGAGACCAACCTCCGGAGGGTAACCAGCTCCTGTCTGCTGGGATGGAGCCACCTTAGGGACGTATCCAGCGGGGGCTGAAAGGACAGGGCATGGTCAGCACCAAAGCGGACAGCCAGACACGCCAGCCCCTCTTGTGTTTGAGCCGGTAGAAAATACCATGATCTTCTGGAGTCACCGGTCTGCTTTGCCACACCACCCTCTGTGGCATCGGGCCAAACACTGGACTGTCATTACCTCCGCCTGCCCCTGAGAGGGTCTGAGGTCATTCGTCTCCTCAGCTCTGACGCCCCAGAAGAGGGAAGCTCGCTGCCAGGAAGATCCCCATGCCAGAGCTTCGGCAGCTGGAGGAGCAGGGGGCGGTGGCGTGGCAGGTGTCCGCAGGCCCGGTGAGAGCCACGGCGGGGCTGCAGCAGTGGGCCTTCTCTTGGGCGGACTCTGAGACCCCCCATTCACCAACTGTTGCCTCTGCCCCTCGGGCGCACAGGGGGTTAGAATCCAGTGAACACTTAGGTTTTCGAGGCTGCTGCATAAGGCAAATGGTTTTAAAATTAATGCCCAAACCACAAAATGACCTGAAATCCACAAAAGCAAAATGTGGATATGTCAGTAAATTAATGTCATAAAAATTTGGAGTTACATGCTAGCGTGCCTTGTACACAGAATAAATCTTTAAGTGTGATCAAGCCAAATTCAGCAGGAACTGAATAATAACAGGGACAACACTTCACAACTGAGCCGAGTGGGGTCTATCTGGGGACAAGGCTTGGTCGAGCCGTCGGAACCAGTGGGATTCACGTGAGCAGAACAGACGATAAAAACGTGATCACTTGAACAGATGCAGAAAGACCACGTGACGGAACTGCACCCCCACGCCCAGTGATGTGAACCCAGGTGAGTGCCTCGGGGCTCCCTGCTGCCCTCTGCCCTGCCAGCGCGGGGACTGAGCGGGCAGTACGGTTTCAGCAAGATTAAATGCTTAAAACAAGGAAAAAAAATCTGTATTTCTCAGAGAAATATACGGTCTCTACGGGGTACCATTTGTGATCCCTAGGACACAACCAGAAAGTGCTGGACACACAGACGTATGAATGGGACTCCTACTCAGAATAAAAGAAAACACAGTAGAATCACAGAGGATGTCAGCCTGTGCGCTATCAATACGGGCAAGGATGTAAGAAAAAAATGCTCAAATGAGCAAATAAGGTTTGCTAAGAATCAGAAACTAGCTTTAGAACAAATACATATGGAACAGAAAAGACAGTTACAGGGTTTAATGCAGAATGGGCAGCGAAAGGTCATTAGTAGCAAGAGTCAGTGATAGATTAAAATTACCCTATCAAAAAAAAAAAAAGGAAAAACTAAAAACTATATGAACAGGCCTAATGACCAGTGAGTGGGACAACAGAAGAGCTGTTTCAGATGTGTACCTGATTCCGAAAAGTAGAGACAACAGAATTATTTGAGGAAACAATGGCTGAAATCTTCACAAATTTGATGAAAGCCATAAATTTACCAATTCAAGAAGTTCAATAAGCCCCGTGCGTGGTAAATTTAAAAAGCGCGCTGTAGAGATATTGTTCCCAAGGACGAAATCAGAGAGGGGACAAATCGGAAGAGACCCTTAGCCACAGGAAACAGACTGAGGGTGGCTGGAAGGCCGGGGCTGGGGGGCCGGGGGCACTGGGTGACAGGCACTGAGGAGGACACGGGATGCGATGAGCACCGGGTGTTGTGAGCAACCGACGTTCACTGACCTCCGTCCCTGAAACTAACAGTTCACTCTGTGTTAATTAAAAAAAAAAAGAAAAAAAAGAAGAGGGGCACGACTGGGTGGCTCAGTGGGTTAAAGCCTCTGCCTTCGGCTCAGATCATGATCTCGGGGTCCTGGGATCAAGCCCCGTGTCAGCCTCTCTGCTCAGCAGGGAGCCTGCTTCCCCCTCTCTCTCCGCCTGCCTCTCTGCCTACTTGTCATCTCTGTCAAATAAATAAATAAATAAATAAATAAATAAATAAATAAAAGAGTGCCCAGATGCTAACCTTGTGAGACGAGGACGCTTAGAGGCACGCCAGGATCAGGGCCGCCCGAGGTGTGAGCAGTGCGTGAGGGCCGCACAGACCAGCCCCTCTTGCAGGAGTGCAAAGCCCGTGAACAGTGCCCAGCGAGAAGCGCTGCTCTTCCTACCCACGAGCTGATACCAGAGACGACGAATATTCAAGACACAGACGCAGCTAAGCAGAATCAAACTGAAATAAACCCCAAGTAGAAGAGAGGACGGGTGGGAGCAGTTATGGGAAACGTCCCTCCAAACAACAGACAAAACACACAACAGAGAAACAGAGAAAGGCCTGAGTAAGCCGTCTACAGGCGAAATGCACGTGGCCAGGAAGGCATTCCGAACGTCCCCCCGCCCAGAATGGAGGCCTTTCCTCTCCACCAACGATGACAGCAACTGTGCTCGGAGCCTGGTCCTGGTGAGGCTGAGGCGGCCGGTGCTGGGCAGGGACACCGACAGAACCACGGCAGGGAGGGTGGCACATGTATTTGACACGTGTGCAAACATGTGCACAAGGATTACTGTTTCCTAAAGGTCTGTAATACCAAAAAACACAAATTAGCACCTCTGGGCAACTGAAGTGTGGCCCGACCCGTCCGCGAGCTTTCTAGCTGAGGCGTGGCTGCTGCAAACGAGCTGCCGCATCCCAGAGGCAGAGGCTTTCCAGGAGTGGCAGCTCGGGGCAGTTTCACTCCAACGGGACTCTCCCAGATATCTATTCTTTCCTACTTTACAGCTTTGTGAACTTCGACTGTAAGCATCCTCTGATCCATTTCGAGGATCGAAATTTTGGTCCAAGTTCCCAAAGTGGTGTCGTCACTCCGATGCCTGTTACAGAAAGAACGAAGGGAGGTCAGGGGCCCATCTCACGAAGCCGTCTCTGGCATCTACAAGTTTGGTAAAGACGTGTGGTCCCGGGAGGGGCAGGGGGCCGGTGGCATCCAGCGGCAGCGCAGGCGGCGGACTCCTGGTACTCCACTGTCACCGGCAGGCCGAGCGGGGCCAAGGGCTTCTGAGGACACACCCTGACAAGCGGGACAGCCCATCCTGGAGGGTGACGAGGCTGCAGGGTGCTCCGGCGACTGCGCCTGCCTCCGTGGCGTGGAAGGAAGGAAAGGTACGAAGGGCCAGGGGAAGACCCCCGTCTGCGAGAGGACGGAAAGGACAGCCTAGTGAGCAGCGCCACCCAGGCAGTGACTGAACGTTGACACGGACACCTGCTGCCCAGCCCAGCCCCCAAGTGGGGGACCGTGGAGGGAGAACTTGTCTGTCTGTGGCCCTCTGATGCCCATGCTCGGGGCCAGCGGGACTCAGCCACACGAGAAGACGGGAGGCGGTGGCCCCGGCTCCCAGCAACCCCTCTCTCTACACAGAGCTTCGAATCGACGGTTATCGGTTTGCAGAACACTTTTGGCTCTGCTCTACGTGAGCCTTCAGAAGGTTCACCGGGCAGCACCCCTGTGCTGGGGACACTGCTCCTCCCCACACCTCCCTAGAGGGGTGACTCAAGGTCACAAGCACGGGCCTGGGTGGGTGCATGGTGTCTGACCGCCTCCGCCTTCCAGGCCCTGGACTCTCTCTGTGGGGCCTGTCCCGGAGGCCAAGTGGGGCCTTCACCATCCCGAGGGAAATCCTTCACCATCCTTGCAGGTGGCCCGAGATGTCCTAATTTTGTGAAGGATGCAAGGTCATGCCCGGCGTGGTGTAGCCAGGACCATGCTCTCACACTGGACTCTCCTAAGGCGTGCTAGAACATTCCGGGTGTTCCAGATGGCGCCTCTGTTGTCCCCCCGCTCCCCCCGCCGCCAGCGCTGCAGCCGTCTCCACGCACAGGGTCACGGCTGTGGTTTCTCACACAACGTGCTTCCTGGTTTCCTGCACAGCTGGACACGCCCAAGGGACTCTACTGGGGGGAACGTGACCTAGTAACGGTACGAATGTGAAGGACCCTCTGAGCCTCCACGCACAGTTGGGGCTGACGTGTCCGAGGGGTCATCCCAACACGGACCGGGTGCCTGCCCCGGAGGGAGTCCCATGTGCCACTGCGACAGCGGGCACAGCTTGCCCCCTGCTCACAGGCGGGAACGCCGACGCCGGAAGAGGTCAGCAGATTTGGAAACTAGGGTTTGGTTCTAGAACATACAATCTTTTCCCCTGACGGATACAGAGTACAACAAAATTAGTCACTTTTATTTAAAAGAAACATTACAAATAAGTGCAAAATTAAACTTCATGATTAAATACACACAGAAGTACACGCATGCTGTACAGTGAAACCCACACAGTTAGCGGATTACGCGACAGTAAGAGAACCGGCAGGACGCGGCGCTGCCACCGCAGACTTTCAATGTTTGCAACCTGAAATCAAAACCGTACAACTGGGTTTCTTTAGAGGGAATTTAAGAAAATTAAATACATACCTCTGGGAGTACTAACAATATAGAGCCCATAACCTGTTTTAGTCACCAAGTGTTAGAAAACTTTACCATGCCTCTCCTCAGAGGGCCAGCGGAAACTACTCGGACCGACGGCGGGGCCGTGCCCGGCTGGGCCTCCCGCTCCTGCCCAGACATCAGGCCTGCGCTGCCGCAATGCCCAGCCTTTCCCTCCACATCCTCTAAATTAAGCGACGCTTTCCTCGGGGACGGATCCTGACGGTCTATGTTGTTCCTCTGATCCCTGCACACAATGGGGAAACTCGGGCGGCCCGTGGGGCCCACAAAGCACTCTGCTCGCCGCGGGCGCCCAGCCTGGGCCTCAACGCCGACGGCTCCAACAGACAGACGGGGACGGCCGCACCACAGGCTCACGACAGGCACGGACAAGACCAGGACGCCGGCTTGCGGGGAGACGCCCACCCTGTGCGAACGTGGCCGGCTCTCCTCGCTTCATCTTGAGAGGAGAGAAGGAATTCCCTTCTCCTTTTCTAAGGCAAGCTGCTGGTATTATTGTTCTATTTTAAAATCTGGTGGTAACGTAAGAACTCACAGGGACATGTTTGTTCATTTTCCCATTACAGACTCAGTAAAAATGATGGAACCTGTTGCCAAAACAAATTTCCATTTGTCCATCCTTTTGTCAACCCAGTCCCTACGTGTGCACGGAGCCCCCAAGCGCACAGGGGGCAGAGGCGGGAGGGCGCGGCGGAAGCACGGAAGCTAGCATCACAGCTCAACTACGGGTCGCGGGCCAGCAGTCGGGCCCGGGCAGCTCAGAGCCACTCAGTGTCTACACTGCCTTGATGATGATTCGTTCTTTAATACTGGAAATGGGAAGCCCTGCTCAGGAAAAGAGACAACCACAGAATGGCTTCAGGACCAAAGGCCCGGGGCAGTCCTCTGGCCACTGACCCATGAGGCCCAAGGGCCCCGGCACCAGCCCCAGGGTCTGAAGGGCACACTCGGTGCTCCGGAGCAGCCGGCCGTGGGTGCTGGTTGCACTCCCAGCGGAGTCACAGCTTGTCATCGGTCATTTCTAGAAACTGTGCGTAGACGTCCCGGATGCACTCCCCCTTGGGGTTGAAGAGGAATTTGTAGTAGCTGCCGTCTGCACAAATCGCTGAGACAGAAGGAGACCGTTTTACTCAGGCGGCTTCTGCCCTCAACATTAACAACAAGCAGACCTCCCTGAGCTCAACTCTAAATGGCCTTGCTCTGGGCAGCAACACAGAGTGAATGTGGCAAACAAGGGACCCCCCCACTCCTGACTGAGCACACGTGTGGCCAGGAACCCCGGCTGCTCTGAGGTGGTGCCTGCCTTCGATGCAGGTATGGAGGGATCTGGTCATCAGTTCAAACACCACATGACCTGCCCCCCCCACAACTTCCTAGGAAACCCCAGAGGGCGGGAAGGGGGCTGCTGTCACCCCACATGGCTGCGCCCCCAGGAGAGTGAGCACGGGGCGGCCAGCACAAGGACCACTTACCGATGACAGCATTTGGCTCTGTTCCAAAGGCACAGATGCACGGAGAGCCTGAGGGAACCTGAAACTTGGAAAAACTCCACTTGGAACTGAAGTACTTTGGAAGGAAACTGGCTGAGGCCAGACTAGGAGGGCAAGGGGGGGGGGGGAGAGAAAAGGCAGTTATGTCTCCGTAAGAAAAGTGAAAAAAAATGGCTCTCTCATATGGCCTGAGCCCAGATACTTTAAATTCTATTTTTCCTTTTAATTTTACTTCTCACATGAAAAAAAAGCAAAGTGCTTACAAATGACTTTATGGCAATCCCAGGAAGCACCGTACCAGAAGGGGCACAGGTTTCTACTGTGACTAAACTAATGTGCTAAGCATGGCAAACGTGAGGACAGGCACCAGGGTTTAGGGGCGAGTCCTAAATCCCAGGGAAGGTGACTGAACCCTAATCGGACTCTGGGAAAGGAGGTAAAAATGACGCCTATTTCCACATCAGATACTGCGGACCCCAAACAATGTGCAGCTGAGGGACCCAAACCCTGTGGCTGAAACCCTGTGTCTAACCACTGACTCCCCAAAAACTTAACTCAGGGCCTACTGTTGACCAATAAGAAGTGGTCGGTTCACACTTTCTATACGTTCCGTGTACCACACGTCCCGTATTCTTACAAGAAAGCTAGAGAAAAAATCCCAAGGAAGAGAAAAATCTGTTCGTGGCACCATGCTGTACCACGTGTCACAGCCTGTGGACGTCACACCTGCGCCGTGCAAGGGTCTGCCGCGCCCTGTCATGCAAACGAGCAACTGCGCTTCCCACCCCATGTGCCTGAGGGAGGGGCTTGTCCTCTGAGCCGTGGGAACCTACCTGGACTGTTTATTCCTTTTCGGATCTTCGGCAGCGAAGATGTGCACCGTGCCGTGGTCACTGGACACGCAGATGAGGGACGCGTCCGGGTTGAAGTTAATGCTGCAGAGGAATCAGAGGCCGCTCTGGTCTCATGTGGACGCAGAGAAACCCCCCACCGCAGTGCCGCGCTGCCACAGGAGCCGGCGCCTTGAGCCTTGGTCTTCTTGAATTCCACAGAGCAACCGTAAGCACCACCTCCCTCCATCCAGCAGCCCGCAGCGCTCTCCACGGAACCAGAGGGTCCACACTGGGGAGCGGGCCTCCTGTGGCCACCCCTCCATACCACTCAGGTGACAGCCCTGGCCCCTGGAGGTGCAGGCTGCCCTCTGGAGGGGGCATCACTGGGGCTGGGCAGGCCCCCACCCTGGCTGGAGAGGCCCTACGAGCAGACACAGAGGAGAGCCCCCACAGGGCTCCACGGGCACAGGCACTAAGTGCAAGTTCATGCCGTGTTTATCGTACAGACCCAAATGCCGCCCAGCACTCGCCAAGGCCACAGACGCAAAGCATGAAAGCCCACCCCAGCAAGGGGTCCCCCACGGCAGGGCCGCAGACCCCGAGTGATTACAGAGGAGCTAACAAGGTCTCCAGTGTGTGTCTTAGAATACCACGGAAAAATCAGCTGGAGGAGCAGTGGTGAAGAAATAAAGCTGGCGAGTACTGACGAACACGGAGGCAGGGTCCATGACAGTTAATTACATTCTCTTTAACTTCCGTCCATATTCCCATAACGATTTAAACCTCTTCCTAATAGAACAAGCTGACTCCAATTCCCTAAGAGCAGGCGGGGGCCCTGATTTTCCCTCAGTCCAACAGGCGGCATTTCAGTGCCGTCAACCCAAAGCCACGGCCTCTCAAGGCAGACGGGGCGGGGGGGGGGGGTACTTTCTTACCAATAAATATTGGCTGCTTGAGATCCTCTCCGTAGCTCCTGGATTAAATGCCCTGATGAAGTATCAAATATTCTTATAAGGGTCCCCTTTGAAAAACAGTGAAGTGTTTTATTATCATTCACAACCTTTTAGTTTTTTGAAATGAATATTATACTCACAAACCCATCAGCCCATACAACCCCTTCCCAACTCACCCTCCTCATCTAAAACTCCCTTCTCCCTCCGCCGTACCCGAGAATAAGTTGGTGGCCCTTCAGCCCCACGGCCCTGGCTAGGAGCCCAGAGCCCTGGGGCCAGCCCTCCACTAAGCCCTGCCTCCCCTGCCCCAGCAGACGCTCTTCCACAGCCGGGGCAGGCATGCTCCTGGAGGGCTAGGGTTCTCGGTCTAGAGAAATGACACCTTCGTGGTAATTCCCGTGGCCAGGTAGAAAAAGGAAGTGATTCTGCTTCCCAAAATACGAGTCTCCCTCAAGTAAAGTGACTTTCCAATGGTCCATGTCAACTACGACTTGATTCCAAGAGGGTGGCCAAGAACCCGTAAGGAGTCAGAAGCCACAGGGAAGGGCCGGCTTCCCACAGGGCCACACTCTAGGTCGTTGGGAGGACGGGGCTGCTGGGGCAGGGGCGCAGCTTGAAGGGGAGGGACGCGCACTTACTTTCTCAGACGCGGTTGCGATTCTCGTTCCCTGCAGGTTGAGGGCAATGCAGCTCAGGACGCCCTCGTGGGCTGGAATGTCCACCGGCGGCTTCTCCGTACTGGCCAGGTCCACGAGTTGCACGTGGCCCGTGTGCGTGCCCGGGAAGGCCAGGAGGGAGTTGTTACTGTTGGGGCACAGGACGCAGAGGCCTGGTCGGAGATGGAGAGAGCCCATCAAGCATTCACGACGGCCTACGAGCCTCTGCCTTACCCCAACAAAACCCATTCTGTCTTCTAGCTCACAAGGAAAAGAAAAATATATAAGACTGACTTACGTGTTTTCATTTTTTTAAAAACTATTTTATTTATCTTAGTGAGAGAGAGAGCGTGCACAGGGTGGGCAGGCAGAGGGGCAGGGTAGAGGGAAAGTGAGATTCTCAAGCAGACTCCCTGCTGAGCCCAGAGCTCGAGGTGGGCTCGAGCCCATGACCCTGAGATCATTACCTGAGCTGAAACCAACAGTCAGATGCTTAACTGAGCCACCCAGGCACCCCCAGGGGTTTTCAATTTATATCAGAATCACAAAATCTTTTCTTTAGGTATTTAGGGCCAAACAAAGCAAACCCTGCAAGACTGCCTCATAACCGGACCATCTGCTGAACTTGTTCTTAAATAAACTTTGTCAAATATCCATCTTCCGTGGTACTAGCCACTGAGAACACAAAATTGTGAAGTTAAAAGCTCCATTAACACTTGCATAAAATCCCAAAATACTTAGGAATAAGTTAAACAGTGCTGTATAAGACACTGTAACACCAAATTTCTGATGGACGGAGAGCTGATCGGATCTGACCTACTGTGCTCACGGCTAGAACCGACTCTGCCCGCAGGTCACTGTGGTCATAGTCAAGCTGTCTGCAGGCTTTCTGAACCAGCCGACCGACACTAGACCTTATAAGGAAAGGCAAGGTCCTAGAATAGCCAAAAATTTTTTTGTAAGATAAGAACAATATCGGAGAACTTATACTACTGAGTTTTAAGATTTTAAGAATTATTTCAAAGCTCTAGATACCAATTATAATATTGACGTAAGGGCATATCACTGGAATAGAACAGAATCCAGAAAAATCTTACACTTACTTGATTTAAAAAAAAAAAAAAAAGGCACCAAGATAATTCAAGGCAGAAAAAAATAGTCTTCTTAACAAATGGTACTAGAAACTGGATATTCATAAAGAAAAATACAAATCTGGGCCTTTGTCTCACACCATATGCAAAAAAATAGATTAAAGACCTAACTTAAGATCTAAAACTTCTAGAAGAACACATAAAAGAAAATCTTTATTTTGCAAAAAAAACACAAACTGAAAATATCTGCAAAAGTGACAAAGAACCTTATCTAGAATATACAAAGAATTCTTACAACTCAGTGAGAAGATAAACAAGGTTAAAACAGGAAAAGATGTGAAGACACCCTCATAAAAGATGTCTGAATGGCAAAAAGCACAAGACAAAGGGCTTAACACTGCCAGTCCTCAGAGAAATGCAAACGAAACCCCAGAGACGTACTATTCCCTCGGTCACAGCAACGCCCCCACGTTCAAAAGAGGGACAGTACCAAGTGCTGGGGCACGGGCTGCTGCCGTCAGCTCTCCTGGGTCACTGTTAAGTTCAGATCACTGGATCTCCTGGTGGGGGTGCAAGAGGACCCCGCCTCTCTAGACAACAGTTGTATTTTATTAACGTGGACACGGCGTCACAACACCATCTCCGGTATTCACCCGAGAGAAAGAAGACAATTCCTCGAGGCAAGGACGTGTCTGCGAACATTCACACCGACTTCTGTTCGCCACGGTCGAACGCTGGAGGGGATAAACGACCCGGCAGACCCACACTGTGCAATGTCACGTGGCGGCAAAGACGAGAGGAAGAACACACACACCACACCTGGAAGAACTTGAGGTCTAGGCAGCGAAAAGAAAGACCCGAACACAACCGAGAAGGCAAAACCTGAAGGCCAGGTAGGGAAGGGGGCCACCGGGAACTCTTGTCCGCTGCGGTGGCAATTACACAGCTGCTCAAAGTGACTAAATATTATCCAACAATATAGTCAACACGAGTGAGTCGTATGGATATTCTAGCTCAATAAAGCCAGAAGAAAAACACTAAAAATGTTAAAAAGAAATTAAGGTGCAACAATGAGGAACAAAGTCACATGCAATCCTTGCTCCGGAAGAAAAAGGGAAGGAAACCCCTCAGAACTCAGTGAAAACACACAATTCCAAGGTCGCCCAAGGAGCTCCTGACCTCTTGACAATGACTGGCTGACAATGATGGGGGTGGGGGGAGACTCCCCTCACTCTGCCCCCTGACAATGGTGGGAGAGGTGGTCTCAGCCTGGCAGGTCCGGTGCTGGTGTGAGAACATGGCCTGGAGAGCTCACCCGGAAGGCGGTGGTGGGCACCAAGGGAAAAAGGCACAGGAGGAAGAAAGAGAAGCCTGTCTCTGTCAGAGGGCCCCCAGCGAGTCTCAGGACTCGTCCCACCATGGCAGTGCCACTCAGAGAGACCTGCCGCAGGAGAGGGCACCCGGCACAGGTCCCCACTGGACAGAACATGAAAGAGCCAACTTCCATCATTACTCCTCTGCATTTCTTACCTTTAGGGTTATAGCAGGTTTCAAAGACATGCAACTGATGGGGGTTGTGTGTGAATGTAAACACCTTAATCATTGAGTCCAAAACAACCACAATTCTGGAAAGAAAAAAAAAATCAGAATTTCTATTCCCAAAAGCGAAACTCAAGCATTTTGTGATTTTTGTTCTTATCATTTGAAACTTAGAAATGGTCCAAAGAGCACAGACAGAAGGATCACTCTTGAATCAGAGCCCTGAGCAGGCAAGGTCTCTGGAGGTTGGCCACTTACGAGCCCCCGGGGGAGTGGCCGGCACTGACGGACAAACGCCCCTCCCCTGAGCACCTGGGTACAGGCGACTAATGGACCTTCCTGAGGGTTAGGGACATTTTCATCAAATATTTCATCTAGAGAAGAACCAAGTAGAGTACGTAGAGCAGAAAGTATTTTTTTATACGCTTTTAGATAAATCCGGATAATTTAGAAATGCTAGAAACTGGAAGTCCTTGGATTCGGCTCCAGGATTTGCGTTATTAGGGGGAACCATCAACATCACTGGAAGTCACAAACCTAAGAATGCAAATATGATAGTCCCCTACTCCCATTCACCTTGTTCAACATCTCTGCCCCTCCCACATCGGAGTATAAGATGTAAATAACACCAAATTAAAATCCAAATTAATGAAACTCTAGCTTGCTGAACTTAACAGTAAAAACTTCTATGTTCTCTTAAACACCATAATGGCAACGGCTAAGAGGAGCCTGTTACTTCCAACAGGTGACAGCAATGCCACCGTCTCGTTCATAAGGAGGCTCTGGATCTTCCTTTATCTTCCAACTGGTAACATTTATTGAGGCAGCACGTGGCAAAGCTGGACTGGGAGCAGGAAGGCTCAAGCCTCGTGTCCTCAGTGGGAACCTGCTGGACAGGGACCATCCTCTGAGGGACTGAGGACCACCAGGGGCTGCGTCCAGCCACCGACAAGCCGCTTCTAAGCGATCCGGGGAAGCCCGTAAAACGCACACCTTCTCTGCAGCAACACAGAGAATGCCACGACCTTTGGGTCGTAAACTACAATCACCACATTTGAAGACGTGATTTTCCCAAACACATTTCTTCCTTCAATATGAAAATATTTCAGCTGTCTTCAGAGAAAGCAACTATTCCACTTTGAAAACTAAGACAGCAAACCTACCGATCTCGCCGCAGCTTCACTGCTTTGACTTCTGTAGAAAATTCTATTTCAATAACAGTCTTCTTTTTCAGGTCATCCCAGATCATCACTGCAATTTCAGAGAGAACTTATGGGCACACCAGTACACAGGCAGCGGGGCCTCGCAGAAGCGTCCTAACCTCACGGGTCTCTGACCAGCGGGAGGTGCTGCTCTCCCACTGCCCAGTCTCAGACCCGAGGGACCTGGGCAGCCCACCACTGGCCAGGCTGTCTCTGAGAGTGGAGCACTCCCCCACTCCCCCCCGCCTGCCTCTTCCCTTCCAGCACCCCGGCCCAGTCTCCCCACCGCCCCACACGCACTCCTCCTTTCTGCCAACCTCGCCTAGATTTCAGGCGAACTTCTCCCCACCCCTCTTTCCTCGGTTCCACCTGCCTGAGCCAAAAGCAGGCCTGACCACAGCTCCTCCTGGAGTTCTAGAGACACACCTGGATCAGGTAGAAAAAGAGAAGCTTCCGTGTTAATGGGTGAAAGCCCAGGGCTGGGGACTTCTCTCAGCCCCAGCCTGACCATTCCTGCTCGTCCGCCCCACAAGCTGCGCGCCGCCGGCATTACGAAGCAGCGGTCACCACACCCCAAGGGCTGAGAAAATTTACAGACAGCCTGAGGACGAGGACGGCCGCACTGAGCTGGGGGACAGGTGTGGGGACTGCTCTATCTTCTGCACCTTTCTCTTACAAAGCTGTCTAGGGGGCGGTGAGGTCAGGGAACGTAAGCTTCCTCAGCAGGCCGTGGGCCAGGGGCCCCAGGGTAGAAGGTGATCAGTGTCTCCCCCAAAGGTCCTGACACCATGACCACCACGAGTCCTGGAGGTGGGGTTCTGGGGTAAGTTTTGCCAGAATGGACTCAGTGACCTCCATTTCATATCAAGAGATAACAACACCTACGAGAACTAACAAACTTCTATGGAATTATTTACTATTGAAGAGATTAAAATTTATAACCATCCAAAAACGGAGCAGACTTTTGTTGTCACCCCTTTAAAATGCCATCTTTGATAAATCTCTTCAATCCCAAAGCGGGCTCCCCTCGAAGTGCCCGGGAGCGCCAGCAGGTCAGTACGTGGGGCGGGTCCTCAGTCCACGGTCCCCTCACTGAGACAGTAACCTGCCCACAGAGGACGCGGGTACACTCGACCCTGCAGAGAAGCTCGAAAGTAAGCTTCTGCAACCCAACACCACAACGTCTGCCATTCAGAACAGACGTAAACCGGCCCTGTCCAGAGAGAATCCCACAGAGGAGCCACGTCAACGGTGTCACAAATCCACGTAAACTCGATTTTCAGAAATTTCTGTAAACAGCATGACAGAGCTCCAGAACCAGCGGCTCAAATTCTCACTCACAAAAGGAAGTGACCAGACACAATGCCAGGGGCAGTGAGAAAAAGCCACAGACCCAGGTGACCTTCAGCTCCCTGTGGTCTCCATGGGCTGCAAGCCGCCATCCTGGTGTGCTGGAAATTCTCCATACACACCCAGGATTTGGCACGTCTGCCTTTTAATACAGTTCCTGAGAGCAAAAGGTAGATTCGGTAATTCTGGAATTCTCCTCCTTCCGTCCTCTAAGCTCCTAAGTAAGAGGAGGCCTTGGAGCTCTGCCTCAACAGCTCTGTGGGCTCGGCCGGAACCTGCCTGTCACGCGGGGACGACCAGTCTCCTCTGGTCTCATTCTACTGTCCTCCACAAACCGAAGACACGACTTCTTCACATCTCAACACCGTGTCTTAATTTTTAACTATTAAAATAGAGTAGATTCAGGTAATGATTTTGATGTTACTGAAAAACTACGGTGCCACCAGAAGGGCCGGACTCCCGACTCTCTTTCCTCCTCAGTGATCACTAACACGCGTCATGGCAAAGACAGACCCCAGTGGCAGGACTGGTGCCCGCCCCCAAGCAGCCGGGGAAAGGAATTCTAAGTAGGCTCCACACTCAGCATAGAGCCCAGCGTGGGGCTCAAACCCACAACTCTGAGATCAAGCACCAGATGTCTAACCAGCGGAGCCTCCTGCATCCCCATCCCTGCACTCTGAGCACGGTGGCCTCTATGTCACTTCTGGACGGCCTCTTTCTGAACTCCCAAGCCACAGGCTCTGCTGGCAATGTGCCAGACAGCAACCCAGGCTTTCTGCCCTTTAGCCCTGGTCGTGACAAGCTGGAGGGGTCCATGCACACCACCACAGGCAGTTCCACTCCCCAAGCCCACTCACGCTGTCCTCCAGGCTCCTCCTCCTGGCTGCAAGCCAGGGTCCCAGGGCCTACCAAGAGTCATCCAGGACTCTACACCTTTCCATGCTCACCTGACTCCCCCCCAGACCTCCAGCTCATCCTTCCACCCAAAGGCACCTCCTGGAACCTTCCCTTCCTGCCCAATCTAGAAAGAGAGCTATCCACCCCTTCCCTCCATCCCCACTCAGGAACCGATCACCAGCGGGTTCCAACCTCACAGCCCTCCAGGCTGCGGGCTCACCAGCATGTGACTCGGACAGTCCCACTTACTTCTCTCTCCCTATCCCTCCCTGTGAATAAGGGCTCCCACTCTGCCATTTCCAGTCTCACACACTGCCTCCAAACTAGAACATTCCTAAGCCAGAACAGGACTGTTCTCCTGACCACACCCTCGGCCAGTATGCAAGACCCCCTGGGTCTGTCCTCACCCACCTCCGCCATCCACCTGCCCCTCTCCTGGTGTCACACCCTGCTTTCTTTCCCCCCAGCAGACGCCTGGCTTTACAGTATGAAGTACAGGCCGTGGTTAGTAAAGTTTCTGTTTCTCCCTTACTTTAAAGGCCAGACCTTTTACACCACAATCTCTCTGAACACCCAGAGACTTACACACACACCAAGAACAATACTTTCTAACCCTAGAGCTGACGCAGTTTCTGTTCTACGTGACAGCAAAACTGATGTTTCTGTGAGTCCATGGCTCTCGGTCGGAAAAATGCCCTTCCTAACCCTCGCTTTAAAATGAACACATAACGTTTATGATACCAACCCACAGGTGGGTACCCAGAACAAAACGGGGTCCAGAGGCATGGCATGGCCCCCGTTTAGCCAACATTAATTGAAAAGCACATGCTTTATGTCGATGGGAACAGGTAACCCTCGCTGCACACTTTTCTCCTGTGAACACCAGAGACAAGACTTTCTCTCTGGGTGCCTCTTGTTGGTGATGGGTCCTTCATACCCCACAGGGCCACCAGGGAAGAGCAAACAGAGCCGCAGACAGCAAGATGCTCTAGAAAGTCCCACATGTCACAGCACGGGCGGCAGGACCGTTAAACCCACCGTCACTTTACCTTTGTTAGGGGGGTACTTCGGCTTTTTCCCACCACCGACTAAAGCTAAATAATTACAGCGAAATAACATCTCCACGTGGCCAACTCCGCCTTCCAGAAATTCTGAAATGAAATTGAAAAAAATTAGTATGTATATTTTGCCAATTAAATATAGAAAAAAGGGGAAACGTAACACCCGGCATCTGACTTTAGTCCGCAATCTGTATGTGCCCGCCAACAGAATGAGACTGCCGGCTGGCTAGGAGAGCGCTCTGGACTTCCCTCAGCAGCCCATCCTCAGGAGCTGTGTTTTCGGGTATAAATGCTGAACACCCAGCACCCTACAAAGCCAGCATACCGAATGTATGAAATACCTAAAGTCATATTTTAAGGGGTAGCCAAAATCTCTAAGCTCTAAGCAAGCGTGCTAACTGTGGTGGCTCACTCATTAAGCGTCTGCCTTCGCCTCAGGTCATGATCTCAGGGTCCTGGGATCAAGCCCCACGTAAGGCTCTTTGTTAGGCGGGAAGCCTGCTTCTCCCTCTCCCACTCCCCCTGCTTGTGTTCCCTCTCTCGCTGTCTATCAAATAAATTTTTTAAAAAATCCTTAAACACCTCTTCCACTGGCTTGAAATGCTCAAAGATGCTGGTGAATTAACTTAAGAGGAAAACTTCAGCAGACTTCCGGATGTCCTCCATGACAAAAGGAAGACAAACAATGCTCACTGGGGAAGGCAATGGGAACCTGGGGAGAAGTTTGGGGCTCAGAGAAGCAAACCCCACTCTGAATGGTTTCTGGTGCAGAGCAGGACCAGTGCGCACCCTGTTCTCCCTGGCTCTGCACCCTGGTCAGCGGTGACCGGAGCTCGTCGTCCAGGAAGGGCACAGCAAAGGGCAAGTAAGGAAGCAAAACCTCTGAAAGTTAGAAGTTAACAGAAGATCAGTCACGGCCCTTCAAGATGGTTCCAAAGTTCACCAGCTGGCTCCGTGAGCAACGCAAAATTCAAGGCCTCATAGAAACACCAGAAAAGACTGACTATCCCCTTGACCTGGGAGCAACACAGGACTGAACCGCACGGATCCACTTTTATGCAGACTTTTTTCAGTAAATACAGTCTGATACTGTAAATGTATTTTCTCTTAAAGATTTTCTCAACAGCATTTTATTTTCTTGAGCTTACTTTATCGTATGAAGACAGTATATGATACACATCACATACAAGACATGTGTTAACTCGTATCAATAAAGCTTCCAGGCAACCGCACGCTATTAGCAGTCAAGTTGTTGCGGAGTCAAAAGTCATACATGGGGGCACCTGGGTGCCTCAGTGGGTGAAGCGTCTGCCTTTGGCTCGGGTCATGATCCTGGGGTCCTGCGATGGAGCCCCAGGTCAGGCTCCCTGCTCCACAGGAAGCCTGCTTCTCCCTCTCCTTCTCTCTCTGCCCTACCCCTGCTTGTGGTCTCTCTCTCAAGGAAAGAAAAAGAAAAAGCCACACGTGGATTTTCAGCCGCAGGGTGGGAGGAGTGGGTTACTGTGATCGCTCCCAATTCCTGGTTGTTCAGGGTCAAGAGCAATGTTGTTTATGTAAACATCTGGGCGTCTTTCTTCCAGTGTTTTCTTTCAGATAAAACCCTTTAGGTATAATTAATGAATCAAACAGTACTTGTCTGTATAAAATGAACACATTTTACCAAATTACCCGACAAAAAGATTCTACCAACTTCAACTGTACCACTGAGGTCCTGAAACGGCCACAGAACAGTCTGCTTCTCCACAGCCAAGCCAAAGCTACAAGCTACCATGTAACACCCCCACCCCCACGACAATCCACTCACTCCCTCCACCTCACAGGCTTCCCGCTTCCCGCTTCTCTCCAGTCCCTTCATCCCGGACACGCTGGGGTGAGCACAGGAGCATGCGGCCCATTAGACAGAATGAGGACTAAGGCCCCCAACACACCGTCACATCAAGCAGGTTGCTGGACTGGGTAATGTCAGGCATTGTGCATGACAGGTCACCTCTTATTTCCAGAAGCCCGTCTTACGCAGGACTGTATCCCTAGCCCCAGCGCAGCACCGGACACTGGAGGCTCCCAGCCACCGCCCCGTGGGCTCGGGAACAGGCTGTCTTCGCCAGCGTCCCACCTCAGTCATGTGCTGCTCCTTCTCGGTCTCTGCGTCCCCTCTACTTCCCCACATTTGGCTGCCAGCGTCCCATGTGTGAGCACTGGTTATGTGGAGGGAAACATGGGTGACACGAAGACAGGAAAATGCCTCTGAACCCCTCTGCCCACCTTGCGGCTGTGCCAGCTCACTGAGCACGAGCTATACGAGTTCCAATCACCTCTGCACCACGGAGAGCTGTATTTTTAAATGAAAGGTGAAATTTTTTAAAAAAGCGAAATTAACTTCTTATGAGTATCTCTTGGGTTTCTATAATCACTGGGTATCCTACTTTATCCAAATGTATCGTTCCTGAACCTTCTTCCTAGCATATGCACAGATGTGAATCCGAGTCCTACACTGGGACCCCACAGCATCACCGTGAACTCCAGACAGGCCGCCATTCCAAACAGTCTTGCCCGGGGCCCCACGGCTTTCCTGGAGCAGAGGAGAGCTGCAAACCCACCTGAGGTGTAACTAAGATGCAGGACCCGCAGGCTGGGAGGGAGTTGGGAGAAAGCTGCCTCCAACAGCTCCCAGCCCCTGCCGGCGGTGGGTGCACCTGCGAGAGGCAGCTCACGTCCAGTCCCACCTACTCAGTGCCACAGCCACACGGGACATAACAGGGCCGACAGCCCGGATCTGGGGGTGACCATGGAAGAAGTGCAGGCACACTTCCTTCCTCCTCCTTTAGGAAAGCAAACCGCAAGATAAAACAGGAACCAGATCCAGTCTGTTTTCTGGCACATTTTAAGTTGCCAGAAAGGTAACAGCAGACCAACCTACAAGTGCGCAGGAGCGGACTGCTTAAAATACACCGTCAAGAAGCACACCGCTGCCCCGCCATGACCCTTTTCAAACTCACTCCAAGCTAAGCTTAGGGACAGACTTCCCCAGACACCGTTCAGCTGAGCAGCAAGAGGAAACAGTACTTGCCCTCAGCGCGAGAACGACAAACCCTTCTGGAACTTAGACTTTTAAATGCTTCTTCTCTAACATGTATTTTTTTAGTTTATTTATTTATGAGAGAGAGAGAGAAAGTGCACGCACAAGCAAGGAGGGAGTCGGACCGGGAGAGGGGGAAGCAGACTCCCCGCCGAGCAGGGAACCCAATGCAGGACTCAATCCCAGGACCCCAGGATCATGACCTGAGCTGAAGGCAGACACTCAACGGACTGAGCCACCCAGGCGCCCTAACATATTTTTAGAAGAAATCCTCAATTTGTTATAAACATTTCATTAATTAGGAAATAGCTGTCAATATATTGCTAATGATTCAACTTCAAAGTAACTCCTAAATTTCCGGGTCAATTTAAATAAAAGTATTTGTAAGTCAAACTGTTTCAAAGTATTTTGTCACTATTTATCCATATAAAGCAGAGTTGTCTTAATTCACTAAGCAACCAAAAAAATAAATAAAAGTCAGCCTGCTATAAAAGTCAGACTCCTATCACAGCCCACAGTGCTCACTGGCCCACTGAGAGCACACGGCTGCTGGGCTGACAGGTTAGGAAGGCACAAGCTAACGCAGCACTCAGTGCTCGGGCCCAGCTCTAATCTAGGTGTTTTCTCCATTCTAATTCACTGATCTTCATAATAATCTTAGGAGGTAGACAGTTATCACCTTTCTTTTACACGAAGAAAGTGAGGCCAAGAGAAGGGGAGGCACGTGCCCAAGGTCACAGAGCAGCCCGGCAAGGGGGCAGAGTCAGATCCCTCCCAAACAGTGTGGCCGAGAACCTGAGCCCTTAACTACCAGCTACTCTGTGTGCCTCTAATAAACCCACGTCACACACCTCGATTTGCAAAGTCAAACCCTACACGTAAAGCACCAGTTACTGCTCTCAACCCCAGGGCTGCGGCACAAACAGTGCATCTGACAAAGGGGTTCCGCAGTCAAAAAGACTAATGAAAGCCCCTGACGCTGGGTCACTAGTTGTTGCAATGCAAGGGGGCTGCTGGGTGGAGTACTGAGACGTACAGACAAGAAATAGTCCCAGCATCAGAAAACAGAACTTGTGCACTGAATAAAGACCAAAAGCACAACTGCAGCAAGGCAAAGGGCGTCCCCATTTTCTACGACTCATCTGAGACTGGTTTGTCTGTCAGCAGTGCTTTATTCTCCCAGCAAGCAGAGAGAGCAGGAAACACCAAAGTGTCAGAAAAATACCTTGGAGTAGAAGTAAATTGAAAAAATTCTACCTGTAACATTTACCAATTTTTCCGGTCAAATGGCAAAAGGATCACCATTATTTTAGTATTACCAGGAGAAGTCCTGATTCCACTTGAGAAGCTTCTGAAAACTTGTACTCCCCCGGAAACGTAACTTAAAACACTGAGATACGTAAACAGAAGCAACTACGACTTACTGCTACAGACAGTATTTTCTAAGTGGTCATTTATCAAGAGTCAAGAGTCCCACATACTGACGGACACCCACCACTTGAGTCCTCTACAGCTTCACATTCAGCAGGGAGAGAACGGGTCGCACCAACTACCCCGAGCTCTCCCGAGGGAGCCAGCGAGAACGGAGAACACGGCCAAGACATAGGACACTCCAAAGTCCACATCCCCTGGAGAAAGCAGGGCCACATCCACAGGTGGATCCACAGGTGGATCACCCCTGCACCCCATCTAGGCCAGCACAGGGCCATGAACCTATTTACTTCTTTTTTTTTTTTTTTTTTTAAAGTTTTTTTTATTTTTTTATCTGACAGAGATCACAAGTAGGCGGAGGGGCGGGCGGGGCGGTGGGGGGGGGCGGAGCAGGCTCCCTGCCAAGCAGAGAGCCCGATGTGGGGCTCGATCCCAGGACTCTGGGATCATGACCCAAGCCGAAGGCAGAGGCTTTAACCCACTGAGCCACCCAGGCGTCCCTGAACCTATTTACTTCTTGAAACCAGACCTGTCTCCACCAGCTGCGGGATAAAATGCAGATTCTCTGAAGTCTGGAAAAAGGGAGGAACTACGAAATGTCAACTACTCTTACCTTGTTTCTCTTTTTCTTTTAGCGGATCAGTGTTATAGACTCGGAATCCGTTTTCCATCCCACATGCAAAGCATCCTAAAGTGTGAGAGAGAGAAAGAGACATTAATCGCTGCAGTGGGACCTCAGCTGAGGGCGCCAGGGCCCGAAACAGCAAAAACAAGGGGTCTGGAGAAAACAGCCTTTCCTAAGAGCTCTTGCAGATGCTCCAAGCACCCGGGTGTGGCCTGCCCAGGCCCCAGCTCCCCTCTTCAGGGCTGCTACTCAATGACGTGCACAACCTGGCACGTACACAGTCACCTAATGTGAAAAAGAGCCCTTGCAGTCACTCCAGCTTCCCCCTGCAGGGCCCTTCTCTGGCCTTGCTGAAGACCAGCTCTGCCTGAACACTTAATTCCCCAAGAGGGCTTCACCAGCTACCTCCACAAGCCGTTCTGCCACCGCACATTTCCCTCAATACCTGCCTCTTGCTAACGCTCGCCACTGGCTTCCCCACTCCCAACACATGTCTCGAGTGCTGTGTGTCAGACACCCAGACCTGGAGCGGCAATGACGGAGCAAGAAAGTCCAAGACAGCTGCAAGTGACCCATCCCAGCAAGTGTGGACACAGCAGACCAGGGCAGGGGAGGAAAGGGCTGCTGCATCATGGCCTTCCAGAAAGTGGCCTGAGGCCTCCCATGACCTCCTCCCACCTGTAAACAAGCCTCACCTTGAAGCCCCAGTCACGGTCACACACCAGGTTGTTAACAGTCCAATTAACATCCACCGGAACAGCCAAAATGGCAGGAAATGCCAAGTATGAAGCCCGTCTGGAGGCATGGGGACTCTGACCCTGCTGGTGGCTGCCAAACCGGCACCCCAACCCTGGCGCACTGTCTGCGGGCTCTAGCACGACTCCTGGGCGCTCCACTCCTGGGCGCACGCGCCTTATAGAAACAACAACACAGGTTTGCAAAGGTGTGTGTCAGAATGTTCACAGCAGCCCTACCACAGCCTAACAGCCCAAAACTGGGAACCCACCCAAATGCCCCCAACGGCAGACTGAACTGAGACACAGTCACACAAAAAACTGCGATGCGTCACGGAGGACGATCTACAATACTCGGCAATACGGAAAATGTCTCACAAACGTGATGCTGGATAAAAAAGCCAGGAACCCAAGTGAAGCACAGAGACAGGCAAAACGAAACTACACCACCGGAAGGCAGGCTGGACAGGGCAGTGACTGGAAGGAGCACAGGACGGCCAGGTGTGTTCGGGCTGGAAAACTCATCAAGCTGAACACTTTTCAGGGGCACACTTTCCTGGAAGCACAGCAGCCTTCACTGAAAAGAAGGAAAGACATTACGAACACCCCAGGTTGGCAGCCCCTCTCTTAAGAAGCCTAGGCGTCCGTCTGCAGCGACGCGGATGAACTAGAGGGCACGGTGCTGAGCGAAGTCAGTCAGTCACAGAAAGACAATTATCATACGATCTCCCTGATTCGAGGAATTTGAGAGGCAGGGCGGGGGGGCCATGGGGGGAAGGGAGGGAAAAAATGAAACAAGATGGGATCGGGAGGGAGACAAACCATAAGAGACTCTTCTTCTCACAAAACAAACCGAGGGTTGCTGGGGGTGGGGGGGGGGGTGGTTGGGTGATGGACACTGGGGGGGCATGTGCTATGGCGAGTGCCATGAAGTGTGTAAGCCTGACGAGTCACAGACCTGCACCCCTGCGACAAATAATATATGTTAATAAAAATAATTAATAAAAAAAAGAAGTCTAGGCATCATCCTTGCTACGTTCACACAACTTTGTCCAACAGCTGGGTCAGCCGGCGGGGGGCAACAGGGCACTGGCCTCGCTGTGGGGTGCTCTCCTACACACAGGCACACCACGTCCCGTGCTGCTTCACGACCCTGTGCGTCGTCCAGTCGAAGGTTTGCAGCAGCCCTGCCTCCAGCACCTCTACCCGCACCACTCCTCACGGCACTTCCTCACTCGTGTCTCCATGGCACATTCTGATAATTCTAGCAAGAGTGCAGACTTTTCCATGAGTATGTTTGTTATGGTAACCTGTGATTAGTGATTACGACTCACTGAAAACTCAGATGGTAGCTAACGATTTTTAGCAATGAAGTAATTTTTAATTAAGATATGTACACGGGCACCTGGATGGCTCAGTCGGTTGGGCCTCTGCTGTCGGCTCACATCAAGATCTCAGGGTCCTGGGATCAAGTCCCGTGTCCGGCTCCCCACTCAGTGGGAAGCCTGCCCCTCCCTCTCCCTCTGCCTGCCACTCACACTGCTGGTGCTCCCTCTTGGAAATAAATAAAATCTCTTTTAAAAAAATTAAAGTACATACATTTTCACAATGACACTGCACATTTAACAACTGCAGTATAGCGTAAACATAATTTTTACATGCACTGAGAAATAAAAATATTCATTTGACTCCGTTTATTTTGACAGTCTCTCTAGCGCAGTGATCTGGAACCAAACCTGCAGCATCTCTGAGGTGTGTGTACAGATTACTCACATACAGCCCATATGCAAATACTACCACCACCTCCCACCCCCCCCACCCCCACCCCTGTCCCACAGCTACAGTGAAGTGAGCCAAGGACAAAAGTCTATGGCCTCAGGTCTTGGTCCAGGCAGAATAAGCAAGTGTATAAAGGATATATACACAAAAATGTGAGTTTCCCAAGGGAATAGAAAAATTATAGAAATGTACATCTCAACACTCAAGAGTCTCAAAAACCATCATGTGAATTATTTTTAGAAGATAAAAGTTTGAACACTTAAAATAATGACTAGGGGCACGTGGGTGGCTCAGTGGGTTAAGCCTCTGCCTTCGGCTCAGGTCGTGATCTCAGGGTCCTGGGATCGAGTCCTGCATCGGGCTCTTCACTCAACGGGGAGCCTCTCCCTGTTGAGTTACACGGCTTCTCTCTCTCTGCCTACTTGTGATCTCTGTCAAATAAATAAATAAAATCTTTAATAAATAAATAAATAAATAAATAAAATCAGTATAACTATAAAACCAAAATGTAATAAATTCAACTATCTAGCATAAATTTATAGGGAATTAACCTAAGGGTAACCAGAAGCTTAAGTATAAAGGCATATTTTTTTCCTTCAAAAACTAACTTGGTGGCTCAGTCAGTTAAATGTCTACCTTTGACTGGGGTCATGATCCTGGGGTCCTGAAATCCAGCCCTGTGTCGGGCTCCCTGCTCACTGGGGAGTCTGCTTCTCCCTCTGCACCCCACCCCCCCAAGAGTTTGTGCTCTCTGTGTCTCAAATGGAAAAATAAAACCTTAAAAGAAACAAAAACAAACAAAAAAAGACAAAACCACTAACTTTACTTTTTTTTTTTAATATTTGACAGAGAGAGATCACAAATAGGCAGAGAGGCAGGAGGGGAGGGTGCGGGGGGTGGGGGGAGCAGGCTCCCTGCTGAGCAGATAGCCTGATGTGCAGCTCAATCCCAAGACCCCGAGACCATGATCTAAGCCAAAGGCAGAGGTTAACCCACTGAGACACCCAGGCGCCCACCCCCAACTAACTTTACTTACAATTTGTTAAAATGAAACGAGCTGGGCCTACAGAAGGATATTTTTCAGACAATTGAAATGTGGTCTTTTAAGAACCACAGCTATATTTTATTTATTTCTTGAAAGAGGGAGAGGATCCCAAGCAGGCTCTGCTGGATCTCACGACCACGAGACGACCACGAGATGACCACGAGACGACCACGAGACGACCACGAGATGACCACGAGACGACCACGAGACGACCGCTCAAGCCGAAACCAAGAGTCGCATGCCCAACTGACTGAGCTACAGAGGTGCCCCACACAGCTCTATTTCAAAAACAATCTGAAGGCGCCTGGGTGGCTCAGTGGGTTAAGCCTCTGCCTTCCACTCAGGTCATGATCCCAGGGTCCTGGGATCGAGTCCCGCATCTGGCTCTCTGCTCAGCGGGGAGCCTGCTTCCTCCTCTCTCTCTCTGCCTACTTGTGATCTGTCAAATAAATAAATAAAATCTTTAAAGAAAAATCTTTGATAAAACCTTTATAAACATATACAATCTTCACTGGTTTCTTAAATAATCAGCATCATTTTGAGCCTAGAATACTATACTGAAGCTTAATTCAAAGATTCCTCACTCAGCATCAAGGCAAGTATCATAAGAATGATTCTCTTGCATTAAATGACTTCAAGACACTAAGCTATTTGCTTTTCTAGACACAGAAAGTATCACGAGTTTTTATGGTTACCTCTTCCCTCCCTTACTACCAGCTAGCCATCTCTTTCCACTGAAAACATATTAGTTTTTTAAAGATTTTGTTTATTTATTCATGGAGAGTGGGGGACAGAAGCAGACTCCCCACCAAGCATGGAGCCCAACATGGGGTTCGACCCCAGGACCATGAGCTGAGCCGAAGGCTGAAATATGCTGAAAACATATTTCTTAAGGAGTTGTTCTATCACTGTTAATTCCTTAAAGAGCTCTCAATTATTATCAAACCCATTAAAAAACCTACTGGCAGGTGCCTGGCTGGCTCAGTGGGTTAAGCCTCTGCCTTCGGCTGGGGTCATGATCTCAGAGTCTTGGGATCGAGCCCCACATCCGGTTCTCTGCTCAGCGGGGAGCCTGCTTCCCCCTCTCTCTGCCTGCTTGTGATCTCTGTCAAATAAATAAATAAACAAGCAAACAAACAAATAAATTAATTAATTTTTAAAAAAACACCTTACTGGCCCTTCTCTAGTAGTCAAACCCAAAAGTGTTCAGCTACAAAATTGCCCAATGTCCAATATCTGGCCTCAGACTCATACCTCACTCATAACATGTTCTCCCACAATCCCTGCAGTCCCGCCCAACCCAAATCACCTTCTGTGGCTCAGCACCCACACCTGTCCCAAATCTTCCCCAGGCCTAACTGCCACCTCCTCCGAGAGCCCTTCCATGACCTCAAAGACTGGAAGGAAACTTGCCCTCCTCCAACGACGTGAGCCTCCTAAGCCTAACCAGCTCGCCTCTTTCCACCCGCCACCTTGCTCTCCCCAGCTCTCCTGTGACACCACAATCAGCACCTGTGGGCAGGCTGGACAGATCCCCTCGATCCCTCCGAGCACAGCACAAAGTCAGCGCAGGCCAAACACAGCCACGCACCCCCCGTCCGTCCCTTTAAAACTTTAAAACCGTTTCCACAAGGCAGGCCCTACAGCACCACCGGGATTCTATCCAAAAACGAAACTTCCAAAGCGGCCATGTGAAAGCTCTGCAGGTCTGTCCCTGAGCCGCAGCGGCCACCCCTTCCCCCGCGGGAAGCCGGTAACCCTGCCGGGGAGAGGCCGCCCTGCGCCGCGGGCCTCCCGCCCCCTCCGCTCCCGCATCCCGGGGCCTCGGCTGGATTCCGAGACGTGAAAACAAAACGCGCTTTCCCCAGCCAAGTCCTTCGAGGTCCGGACACAAGAGGGAAAAACGCGAGGGGAGTTCAGGGACCCCTCCTCACCAGCGAGGACCCGCACCCCGCTGGCCCCCCTCCCGCCGCGTCTGCGTGCGCGGCTGGAGACAGACTCTGGGTTTCCGCCGCGGCCTCAGCTTCGCAGCCGGAGGCCCTCGGCGCGCTCGGGAGAAGCAGCGGCCCCCGAGCTAGGCCGTGGGGAGCCCCACGTCGCGCACCCGGCGAGAGCCCGCGGAGGCGGCGGACCGAGTGGGTGCGGCCGTCGCCCGCCGGGGAGCTCCGGAAAGTCGGAGGCGAGGGACACGCCCCGACCTCGGCCCACACCCCCCGCCCGAGCGGGAGCGGCGCCGGGAGGGCCGGGGCGCAAGGCCAGGACGAAACTGGGGGCGGCACGGTCAAGGGCCGCCTTGGGGGGTAGGGGACCGGGTGGGGAGGGGCCGGTTCGGGTCGGGGGGAAACGGCGGGGTCGAGCAGTGTCAAGGCAGGGGCCTGGTCGGGTCCGGAGGCTTCGGGGGAGGGGCCGGGCCGAGTCGGGTCGCGGGCGTCCGGGGAGGAGCGTAGTCGAGTTGAGGGGCGTCCGGGGGTGGGGAACAGGGCCGGGTCGGGCAGTGTCAAGGCAAGGACCCGGTCGGGGGGCGTCTATGGAGGGACTGGGCCGGGTCCGGAGGCTTCGGGGGAGGGACCGGGCCTGGTGGGGGAGGCTTCCGGGGAGAGGCCGGGTCAGGTCCGGGGGCGTCCGGGGAGGGGCCGGATCAGGGGGCGTCCAGGGAGGGGCCGGGTCAGGGGGCGTCGGGTCGGGGGGCGTCCGGGGAGGGCCGGCCCGGGCGGGGGGCTCCGGAAGAGGCCGGAGGGAGTCCCGGGCGCGCGCAGGGGCTCCCTCACCGTGGTCCTGGTTGAAACCGGCATAGAGCAGCCCGTTGCCATGGGGGTTACACGGCAGGAGGTTCATGGTGCCGACGCGAAGAGTCCGCTGCTCCTCAGCGCCGCATGCCCTCGGGGAGGCCGGACACTGAGGTCCAGTCTGTCCGGCCGAGGCCGCCGCGCCGGAAGCGAGAGGCGGACGTGCGTGCGCGCGCAGCCAAGGAGCCGCGGAGCGCCGAGCGCATCCACCTGGGCCCGGCCGCGAGCGCCCAGAAGTCACGTGCGCGGGGGCGGGGCCTGTGCGGAGGGAGGCGGGCTTGGAGTAGAGGGGAGGGGCAAGACGGCAGTGGGCGGGGCGGGGCGGAGAAGCACCAACCGGGTCAGAAGAGACTGGAGCGCAAGCCACCGGACACGGGACAGGGTGCAATTCAGAGGCAACCGCGCCCTACCCCCGCCCCTCGCGGGCGGGCAGGGCCCATCGCCCCATATATAACTAGAGCCCCCCCAGGAATCATGGAAATGAGAGAGACTTTTTCTTATTTTTAATTGATTGAAGAGATGAGTATTTAAAATAGTAACAAGGCATCGTAGGGTTTTTTAAGTAAAATGTACACAAAAACAAAAATGATTGGAAGTGAGGAAGTGGAAGTATGTAGAAGTGTAGAACCCCCCCCATACAAACCTCCACAGGACACAGGCCTCCCCCCCCCCCCCCCCCCCCCCCCCCCCCCCCCCCCCCCAGGACACAGCCCTCCCTCCTGGGACACACCCCCCCCCTCCTGGGACACAGGACACACCCCCCCCTGGACACAGAGCCCTCCCTCCTGGGACACACAGACCCCCATCCTGGGACACAGGACACACAGCCCCCCCTGGACATACAGCCCCCCTCCCAGGACACACAGCCTCCTGGGACCCACAGACCATCCCCTCAAGGGACAAAGTCTGAACTTTCGGGCCCAGAGCAGCTGGACTGTGGTCCTACTCCAACATGAGGGGCCACAGAGACCAGAGTGGTAGCCCTATGAGCCTCTACTTAGTCCTCTGGTCTCTCCCTTACAGTCCCCTGTCCTATTTTCCCCTTGCACCTGGATATCCACAGTCCAGGCAGCATCCCTTCCTGCCCCTCCTACTGTCCTCTCCTCTGCACCCTTGGCCTGCTGACTCACCCTACAAGGTGACAACCTTTCTGCCTTGGGGCCCTGAGGTCTGAATTTCCCCCACGCACCCCGTGCTGGCAGAGTCGAGTAACTCAGTTCCCGTTTGTGGGGGGAATCTCAGGCTGAGGGCCCGTGGTTTGGGACGGGGGCCAGGACTATCACAGACTCACAGACCTGGGACCCTTCGCCGCAGTCCACGGACTTGGAAAGAACCCTACTGATGGAGAGCCTTGCCCCGGCTGCACACAGGCTTCTGTGGTCACCAAAGCGGGCACTTGGGGGAATGAGAGTCTGAGCCCTTCCTTTGGTCCGGGGCCTCCTGAGGTCCTATCTCACCGCAGGTCCTTCTGTGACAGTAGCCAGCTGGGCGTGCTGGTGAGGGGGCCCCTTGCCATAGCCACTCTAACTTAACCCAAGAAGCTCAAAGCTGTGTCCCCTGGAATGGGTTGACTGGTGACCCCCAGAGACATGCCTGCCCAGAAACTGTAACCCTACTTAGAGAAGCTTTGCAGATGTAAGGGTCCCAAGATGAGATCACCCCAGATTCAGGGTGGGCCTTAAACCCGTGGCGAGTGTCATCCTTGGTGGAGATGAAAAGGGAGAAGACGGGGAGATGGCCACTTGATGGGAAGGCTGAAATTGGCGCCATGTGCTGGCAACTGCAGTCACCCCGAGGTGCTGAAAGAGGCCTGGGAGGCCCCCCCAGGGCCCCCAGATGGTGAGGACTTGGGTGTTCCTTGTTGGAACCGTTTCTGGCAGCCCTAGGAAGCCAGCACAGCCCGTTGGTAGCTAACCTGTCTTGGAGCAGATGATGGGAGAAGTGGCTCAAAATGACTGCCAGGCTCCTTGCTGACTCCCTCTCCAGGTGGAGGGGGGCACGTCCTCCCCCTTGGCACACAGACTGGAGTTTGAGCCAGGGACGGAGGGCATAGGTATTACGTGTGTTCCCTATTAAGGCCCAGCTTCCTATTTGTTTTTTTTTTTTTTTTGCAGCTTCCTATTTGTAAGAGGAAAATCACATCCAGTGTGTTAACATAGGCCACAGAGAGAAATGCTTCGCAGAATCTCAGAATGCCCTGCTTGTCCCCGTGAGCCAAGGAGGGTCTCCACTGGGGACGGGCTGCTCCGCAAGGTGTCCGTGTCTATTATGGGTTATTAAAGGTTTTCAGACAAGGGTGGAAATACTGCCAGCCCAGGACCCAGATGAGCCTCTGCTCAGAGAGCCCTGGGCCCCCATGCCAGGGTAGAGAACTTCGCCAGGCACCCGCCAGCCTGCTTCCATGAAGCCATCCCATGACCTACCACTGACTGGTCTGCCCCTGCCTGGCTAACGTGTCCGCTGATCATCCTGTGCCGAAACTCTGCTCAGCCTCATTCAATGCCTCAGTCGGCCAAGGGCCTCCAGTAGCTCAGCACAGTGAGGACAGTCCCTGAAGAGGCTGGGCCCCAGCGGAAGCAGGCCCCGAGAACGTGTGCTGGGAGTGAACCAGGTGAGCACCAGGTGTCCCCCCACCTCGACCCCCCACCCCCCCAGCCAGGCACCAGCCCTCCTGGCTGGGACCTCCTCCACCTGCCGATTCGCAGCAGGAGGACTGCCTCCCCGTCCCCTAGCACTTGCTTTAATGGGGTGATTTTCTAGCAAAGGACAGCCACTCCACCTCTGACTCCGGCAGACAGATGTTACGGAGCCTGAAATGGATGCTTTTTTCCAGATTCAGTATTTGCCTATACGGTCCGTCATCAAAGTTGTGAGTTCTCCGTCTGGAAGATAATTCTGCCAGACAGTCATTTTCATAGGGCAGTTGAGGACATAATTGTACATAACACGTTTTGAATCTAGATGCTTAAAAAGAACATTACCAACATCTGGGGCATAATGTGGCATCCCTGTTTACACTTTGGGTGGGTTTTGCCCCCGGGGAGGGCCATGCAAGGGACAGACAACGTGTAAGGGCAGTTTTTCTAGGGTTCAGTTTCCACTTGATTGTGTTTTCAGTGTATTTACCCCTAAAATATGCATGCTTTGCTTCATAACGCATTCCATAGGGACGCCTGGGTGGCTCAGCGGCTCAGGTCATGATCGCAGAGTCCTGGGATGGAGTCCTGCATCGGGGTCCCAGCTCAGCGGGGAGCGTGGTTCCCTTTCTCTGCCCCTGCCTGTCACTCTGCCTGCTTGTGCTCACTCTCTCTCTCTGACAAATAAATAAGTAAAATCTTAAAAAAATAATGCACTCCATATTTCGGTTTATTTGTTCCTCTTTTCTAGGAATGCCACTGGATTTGCTAAAGCACTATGTACTGTGAGGTATAACCTCTTGCTGAGGTGTGTCCTGGGGCCCCCATAACAAAGTGCCCCACACAGTGGACATTTATCCCCTCATGGCTCTCGGGGTTCTGGGGCCCGGGTCTGAGGTCCACATCAGATGACACCCATCCTGGGCACCCCAGCTGTCCCTGCACCCATGGTCAGTGGGTCAACCCTTTTCTCTCCATCCACTGCCGGGTGGAGAGAAGGTGCTGTGGCCCCAGCAGGACACCCTCCTGGGCTGCAGCCATGGCAGAGGCAAGGTCCCTTCAGGGTTTACCTGCTGTCCCCTAGCCCGCTCCCCTGTGGACATGGGTCCCCATCATGCTCGGGGGGCTGGTAGAGCTCAAGCCTGGCCCTAGCCCTTCAGCAGCCGGGGGCTCCAGTCTCATTTCTGCTCTCTGGCTCTGTGAATAGAGATGTTGCTTCCAATTCTCAAGCCCCTCTGATTTCTAAAAATCTTTAAAGGCTGGGGCGCCTGCGTGGCTCAGTGGGTTAAGCTGCTGCCTTCGGCTCAGGTCATGGTCTCAGGGTCCTGTGATCGAGCCCTGCATCGGGCTCTCTGCTCAGCAGGGACCCTGCTTCCTCCTCTCTCTGCCTGCCTCTCTGCCTGCTTGTGATCTCTGTCTGTCAAATAAATAAATAAAATCTTTAAAAAAAATAAATAAAAATCTTTAAAGGCTAACAGGAACTGAGGACTCAGCAATTTCTCATTTTAGTTACTTTTTAAAGATTCCTCCTTGTACCCACCAGCTGCTGCAGAGAGATGCAGAGCAGCTACAGCCAGAGAGGTGAGACCCTGTGCGTGGCCGTCTATGAGCCACTTGTGAGTAGTGATAAGGACCTTGTGGGATTGTCCGTCGGTCCGGGGTGCCTACCAGATCTGTGAGCACCCCAGGGGGTATCAAGAGCCCTGTCTGCTGTTGTCCCTGACAGGCGCACCTTACAGGGTCGCCCTTCACACTTCCTACTTCCGGCCACGGCCCTTCTTCCCAGGGAAGGAATCTGGACCAGCAGGTGCCATGTGACGGGCAATGAACCACGTGAAGTAAAGGACTACGTGAATACACAGAATCGGAAAGAGCCAGCCCACCGTCCTACCAAGAAACAAGTGTACATTTTATTGTCGGGAAACATTCTCTTAAGTAACAGTGTCCACTTCTTTCCTTACTGAAACGGCGCCGGGTGATAATTTCCTTGCCGGTCTGGGTCTGTTGTGACTATGTTGTGGCCGTCGGACACAACGAGAGGTATCTTTGGCATTTTCTTCCCTTTGCTTCATAATTTGTGGAACATCTTGTACAAAAATGTAGATTTACAGAAAAATATGCATATAAACACTTATTAATTCCGAAACATGGTAAATAACATAGCAAAACCTTTATCAGATCCGTGTTGGACCCACCGGCACCACCTCAGGGGACTCACACTTTGCTGTGAAGAGGAGGTTTACAGAAAGGCCCTCTCGGCAGGTCGAGGACTGAGGTCTCTCCCGTTGCCTCCCAGAGTCCCCGGGGTCACACTCATCACACGCGTGTGGCCACTCCTGGAAAAGCAGTCGTGTTGAGGACAAGCTGTGCTGCCGTCCTCCAGAGCGGAGCAGACAGCCCGTCCCTGGGACAACGTTTAAACACACGTTTAAAACGAGAGCTTCATGCACGTCCACAGGGAAACGTCGGTCGGGCTGTGTTTCTGCCGCACTGAGCGGCTCCATCACTGCGAGACCGGCAGGTGCTTCCCCAGGCCTGGGCCTGGGCCGGGCTCCCGCAGCCCTCCGTCCCGTCCGTCCGCCCCGCGTGGGGCTGCTCCGCGTCTGTGCCGGGCCGTCTTCAGGAGACCTTACAGCTGTTCCGGGGGCAGCGCTTGGGCGGGCTCTGGGGTGGCCGGGCGGCCTTCACTTTGCGGAGGCCGCTCCTCTTGTGCGCGGAGCTGGCGGCCAGCGAGTAGGAGCGGCCATGCATCATCCTGGCATTGAGGCCGCTGGCCATGGAGAAGGACTTGAGGTGGCCTCTCAAGGCCATGGGCAGCGGCAGCTTGTCCACCAGGTGCACGGGCGTGCAGGACACCACTGCGCGGCAGCACAGGTCCTGCAGGCTGAGCACTGCGGGGGAAGGGGACCGGGCTCAGCGCCTGCTGTCCCAGACGCCAGGGCAGCCCGCTCGCCTCCCCGCCTTCCTTCCCCAGGACTCGGGCCGCGCTCTCCACCCACTGTGCCCACGTGTGGCCCGGGGCAGGGCCAGAGAAGGGCCACCCTGCTTTAGTCACCTGGGACTGGAGACCCCTGTCGTGTCTCTCTCCAGGCCTGAGAAGGGGGCGGACCTGGAGTGCAGACAGTGGCCGGTGAAGTCCTACAGGACTTGCCCAGCTGCAGTTTCCGGTGAGACAGTGAGGGCGGCAGGCATGACCTTCCCAGCCACACCGCTGGCACCAGAAGCACGTGTGACCAGCTCACAGGGACACGCTCGAGAGTGCGGCTGAGAAGCGAATGCTTCAGTCTCATCCACACCGTCCCTCATGTTGTGCGTCAGGCCCCCCGGATGGAGCCCTCGGGGGCCCGAAGGGGGGCCATTCCCAGATGGCCCCACCACCACCACAGAACCTAAGGGCTCAGGCCCGGGGGCTCCCAGCAGAGAGCTGTCTCCACACAGTGACCCTCGGCCGGGGGTGGCATGGACTCCCCGGGACACATGGGGTTCCTACTGCAGGGCAGCGGGAGCACAGCACGCTGAACACCCCCCCCCCCCCCCGCCGAGCAAAGGGCCCTGTCCAGGCTGGCGGTCGTGCTGACATGGTGGAACCCTAACGGGGCAAAATCCAGTTCCGCTCCCTCAACCCTGCACTGCCCAATTCAATAACTAGATTTTGTCCTTTTTTCTTGTAACGGTCACACACTGCCAGGTCCCTGTGAGGAAATCTGTGATGGCGAGGGTCACCATAAGGGCCCCAACAAAACAGACGAAATCCGACGACCCAGGGCTTTGGAGGGATTCACACCAAGGGACCGGGTTCTAGGGCACCAGCAATGCTCCACGCGCCTCTGCCTCTCAGGTCCCCTCTTTGCAAACAAAATGAGCTGAAAGTGAATCATTCCTGAGAGGACATGCTCCTCCCAAAACCGTGAGGTGACACCTGGCCAGCCGGCCCTGGTGGGGGGTCCTGCTCCATGGGCTGGTGCCGCCCCCCCTCACTGCACATACCCCCCAGGTCTGCCCACGCGCAGACCCAGAAAGGGCTCTATGAGCTACAACAAAACTGTCCCTAGGGATCCCTCTGGACTTAAATGCATTCACCCGGAGGACGGCCATGGCCGCACAAGGTGAGTCCTGGGGCTCAGGCCAGGGGCGGCGGCTCTGGGATGGCCTCCCGGCTGCCTACCCTTGCTCGGCCTCCAGAGCCGGTCCATCCCGTGCCGCAGCAGCACAGTCCTGGCCAGCTCCGTGAAGGACTCAGTGATGTTGAAGTTGCACAGAGGGCTGACCTCGAAGAAGGTGACGCCCAGCCGCTCCGCGTAGGCTTGCGCTTGCTCTGTGGGGACCTGCCGCTTGAAGGCCAGATGCAGGCGGTTCCCCACCAGGATTTTAGGGACGCCAGGGGCGTGCTGATGGGCGAGACAAAGGCAAAGGGATTACTTGGGCGAGCTTTTGGGGTTGCTGATGCTTTCGGTAATAGGGTCAGTGGCCTTCTCCCAAAGTTCACCCAGAACCTCAGGATGTGTCTTTGTTGGAAACAGGACCTTTGCAGAGTGTAATCAGTTAAGACGAGGTCACTGCAGTGGGCCCTGAATCCAGACCTTGCAAGAAGAAGACCCAGAACTCACAGCGGGAAAGCCACGTGCCGGCAGAGGCAGGGACTAGGGTGATGGTCTACAGGCCAAGGACCACCGGCAGCCCCCTGAAGCTGGAGGAGGCCGGGCGGACCCTCCTCGAGAGCCTCTGGAGGGAGCCAATCCTGCTGACGCTAGATTTTGGGCTTCTGGGCTCCAAACCGGGAGAGCGTACATTCCCGCTGTTTACGTCCACGCGCTTCCGCAGGCTGCAGGAAATCAACACCATGCACGCGGTTCTGACCACATCGTGTCCACACTGGCAGCCCCAGGTGCAGGCAGCAGCCCACACAGCAGGTGGGCCATGGCTCCAAACCCTGGGGCTGGGCAGGGCTCCAGCTGAGGGCCCAGTCCTGTTCTGATAGGAGCACAGCCCCCATGTTGCTGAGGCCTCGTGTCCTGGTTCACATGCCCGACCCCCGCATGCCCACGTGGACGGTGCCTGGCACCATGTCGTACCTCGTCTATTTCCTTGATCCACCTGTCGATGCCATCAAAGGACCAGCGGTTTGCGATGTCATAGACTAGGATCACACCCTGGGGGAGAGACACCAGGCTTACCTGACGGTTCAGAGGCGGGCACAGGGACGGCACTGGCCGGTGTGCGGGCCACTCCGTCCTCGACCACTTTACTCATTTTAACAGAAACATATTATGTTTGCTTATCTACCAAATGTAGTAGTTAAATAAGTATTTCTAATGATGTTTCATGAGCTCATTACTCAACCCTGTGATGTCAAGGTGAGTTGGGGTCTGGCTCTCCGTCCCCCACAGCCACCAGCTGTTGTAGGGACCCGGGATGCAGAGGGACTGCAAGAATCACCTCCTCCCCAGGAGCATGCCCACCCGCCCGGAAAGAGCGTTCTCCTGAGCATGCACAGACACACACAAGCACATGAGCACAGGTGCACACACAGCCCACCACATGCACACGTGTGCACAGACACGCACAGACACGTGTGCACACATGGCCCACGTGCAGACACAGCATGTGCAGGCGTCCACGCACACACACATTCCTGGTGCTGAGGCAGGCTCACGCGCCCCGACACCGCAGGGCGCCCCGCAGCCTCTTGCCCCAGCTCCTCTGTGAGCGGAACCGCCTTCTCCAGGCAGCCGCCAGAGGACATTCCAAACGTGAGTTTCAGTCCGTTTGACTTCCTGGCTCAGGGGATGTTACCTGTGCGCCCCGAGAGTAGGAGCGGAATATGGTACAAAATCTTCCCTGCCCGGATGTATCCCTGGAAAAGACGTTAGGGCCAGTGAGAAGAAATCACTGCTTCTTCCCAACAACCAGGTGTGGAACTCGAGAGCCACAGTGAGAACATTCTATCTGCCAGTCAGTGGCCGTCCCACTGCAGACACATCCCTGAGTTTATCAAAACAAGGAACTGACCCAGGGGTGCGGACACCTGGAACGACCGGGACGGAGCTCCAAGCATCCAAAATCAGGATTTCAAAAAACCCCCCAGCATTCCTGTGGGATGGATTCCAGCGGCCTGTTCTCATGGCTGTGGCTCTGAGCACTGTGGGCGCTGATTCCCGGCATCTTTGGTCAGGACAGCACACCTCTGCGTGGGCAATGAACACACCCACGCCCACAGGTGATCCCTTGGGGGTGAGGGAGGGAAGGCAGGTCCAGGCCTATCCTCACTACAAACAGTGCAATTTCTCCCTTTTCTCCTGCAGGTGGTGACCTGCCCCTGCCTTCTGAGTCCCAGGGAGCCCCCTGAGGGAGGGCAGGGCCTGGGGCTCAGGAGGTCCCGAGGTGCTGACCAGTGTGGCCCAGGACATGGGAGGAGCTCCTCAGTGCTGAGGAGCAGATGGTGGTGGTGGGGGGCGACTCCCAGCACACGGAGTTTCAGCTCTGCAGGCAGATGGAAGTGGGCAGGGAGTCTGCGGGCAAGGAGACACAGGAGAGCAGCGCGGGGCGTGAATCACGAGCTTTCACGGGAGACTGGTGGCTGTCATGAAGTGGGGCTGTCCCTGGACATGGGGTGCTATGGATAGCGGCGGGGTGTGGCGGGGGCCATGGGGGGGGGCCTGCGACGGCTTTCATGAGGATGAGCCACCAGGAAGAAACGCACCATCAACGGACCTCTCGCTGCTCAGGGGAGACATGGGGCAGCCTTTGGAGGCCGGGGCAAGCGTGGGCTGTGAGTGGATCCTTCGGAGGGTCTCAGGGAGGGAGGGAGCCAGGATGAGATAAGCCCCAGGCCCACGGGCCTCAGGGCTGGGTGGAGGTTGCGAGGCAGAGCCCAGGAGTCTGAGGACAGCAAGTGAGAACAGGAGGCCCGAGGCTCACTGACCCACAGCAGTGGGCAGCCCAGAGGACACAGGCTGCAGGGAGGCCTCAGCCACAACCTCAAACATCCTGGGCGGGGGGGCAAGCCACGGGAAAGGATGGGTGCTAAGGGACATTGTGGAGAAAGGCTCCCTGCTGACCGCCCCCGGGAAGGGACAGGCGGGGATGGCGGGAGGACAGGCTTCCCCATATCCCGAGGCTCGTGTGGCTTGGGGCTTGGTCACACTTGGGCAGAGAAGAGGGCCATGCAGGTGGCCCAGGAGAAGGGATGACACGGGGATGGGAACAGTGGTCAGGCAAGTTGCGTGGGGTGGTCAAAGCAGGAAATCCCAGTTCTCCTACTCCCCAAACCCCCCTGGAGCAGGGGCGTGGGCAGAGGTCAGGGGGGTGTGACCTGAATCTCAGAGCCAGGGCTGCCAGGTGGGGCCGTGAGAAAGAGACCAAGTCCATCCAGACCCCAGGAGAGGGCCTCTATCTCCCAGCCTCCCATGCCTGCCATGGGTCTGTCCCCATCACCCTCATGGGCCCCTCCTGGATCTGGGGAAGCAGAAGGTCTCAGTAAGGCCATGTTCTGGACAGACCCCCAGGGACCCACCAAGGCCCCAGCGTTCCCTGCCATGGATGAAGCCTCGGTGGCCCAGACAAGCGGGTCACCACCTCCTGTGGGGCAGCCCTGGGTCTGCTGGGCCGGGGGGGCGGTCCTCCCACAGGCGGTAAGGTGCACTCCAAGGGCCAAGAGAGCCTCTACCTCCAGGGACCGGCTCGTCCTGCTGAGAGCCCGGGGTGGGCCCCGACTCACCAGAGCTGTAGCTTAACCCTCCGGCCGTCCAGCAGGATGGTGGTGGTCTTGTAGTCGATGCCTGTGGGAGGGGGTAGGCCAGCTTAAGTGTTGCTGGCCTCAAAGTTACTCTCAAGCAAACGGCACCAGAGAGGAGAACTCTCCTGGGGGAGAGAAAGGACTTCTCACCAGGGCAGAGTCACAGTTTTTGAGGTAGACAGACTAGACCTTGTTTGGGTCTCCTTGGGTTCGCATGGACCCTGCGCACCGGCCCCACTGCTCACTCCGTGGGGGCCTCCAACCTTCCTGTCCTCCCTTGGCACCAGCCACCTCGGCCCCAGGCCTCGGGTGGCTCCGGCTGCTGCCCGCTACCCCAGGCGTGGGGACACGGCCTCAGGCTTCGGCCCCTGGACTGTTCGGCATGAGGCCCCCTGTTTGCAGGCAGCTCTGAGCAGCCCCATGTCCGGCACCCTCATCTGTGCGACCTTCCCTCCCGCCCTGGGACTGCTCCATCTGAGCTCTACTCCCAGGCTAAAACACTGAGATCATTCCCCCAAATTATCACACTAAGGACGTAAAGTAAAATGTGTCGCATATAAAATGAGATAGGAAGCATTACCTCAACTAGGTAAAGAAAATACACGTGTTGTGTGTGTGTGTGGATGTGCGTGGAGGGGTGACGGGGGACCAGCCCCATGTTACAACTGGAAATTTCTCGGTGGTGTTTACTCTGTTTATCCGAACCTTTCCCTAGTGTACGTTTCTTCAATGTGCATGCATTCTTTTCCTAAGATCAGAAGAAGCAATAAACATTTTTAAAAAGGAAAAATATTCCTCCCCATTCCATCAGAAACCAATTTTCTGCTTCTTTGAGAAATCAGTCCCGTGTTGACAGAGCAAGTCCCTAGAACGCTTCTGCCCCGTCTGTGGCCGAGCAGGCGCGCTCAGCGGGACCCGGGGAGGGAGAGGCCGAGAATGACACAGCGGCCGTGAAGTGGAAGAGAAAGCAAGAGAAGAGTCCTCCCATCCAAAAACACACCCAACACAATTTATGATCACAAGGACCCAGCCGGGTTTGGGGGCGCTGGATTTAAGCCATTTTTAGACTTACTCAGGAATGTCTCTCAGAGCAAGCCCAGCCTTGGAAACATTCTGGGATGTGGCCAGACTTCAGATATCTTGACAAGGAAAGCAGGATTAGGAGTTACAGATCTAAAGGGGAATGGGCTCCTGGGGGTCAGACAGAAGAAGAGAGAGGAACCCCTACCTGGGGGCCTCACCCTGAGAAAGTCCTGGAACGGGTGTGAAATCTTACTTTCCACCAAAAGAAAACCCCCACAGCCACGGCTCAGAAGGAAACCCCCTGAATGCAGTCGAAGGAAGGAGCCATTCCCAATTAGCTTGACTGTGCTCTCTCGAAGGATCTGTAGCACTTGGCCTTAGCGAACCCCCCACCCCGACACACCGTATTCATACACCCTCCTTTTCTTAAAGTAAGTCGAGGGCTTTGCAGCATGCATGGCGGAAGGTGACAACAAATTTGCTTCGTGTTCTGAGGGCACACTGCCAAGGTTTTAGGGCAGAGCATAGATATTCTGGAAACTGCTTAGGTCAGTAGCTTTGGGCTCTGTGAAATTACTTTTTGGGGCGACCCACCAAGGGCTTCTTCACAGTCCTTTAAAATCCTACAGAACTATCCGGAAGGCAACTTTAAATGCCTGTATTCTTCCTTTTGCAGCGGTCAGCATTAGGCATATGTGATGTGAGACACACACGTGCAATAAAACAGTGTATAAATGCCTGTAATGGAACATGTGTACACACATATATTGAATGGAATATATAATACAGAATACAATGTATAATTACATAATAAGTAGAATATATACACATATAATTAAATATACATAAACACATGAAGACATATACAGAGAGCAACTTCAAAGTTAATTTTGGAAATATCTAATTTTCCCCTGGGAACACTAAAGGTTTTATCCCATCTACGTAAAGCAAAAAATGAGCACACTTGGGAACATATTTTCGAGTCTAGAAAGAATGTGGCTTCGGCACGTCCGTTTCCAGACACTGGAAGAGCGTTCTCACCATTCACAGGCTGGAGAGGTTTTTCATTTTTAACCTTTAGGATATTAACTCACTGTTTGAATTGGGTTGGCGACTTTGATTTACAAGGCTCCCTCATGTACCTTATTTTTTAGGTCCACAATAAAAACAAGTTTTCATAAATTTAAAAGAACTCATTCCTAATGGTCTTTTTAACTCCCCATAAGGGTTTTTTTTCTAGTTGTTGTTTTTTTTAATTTTAGGTAATCTCTATACTCAACACAGGGCTTGAACCCACAACTCTGTGATCAAGAGTCACATGTTTCACCAACTGAGCTGGCCAGGCACCCCAAGCACCCTGAGTTTTTTGTTGTTGTTGTTTTTTTAAGATCTTATTTATTTATTTGACAGAGATCACAAGCAGGCAGAGAGGCAGGCAGAGAGAGAGAGGAGGAAGCAGGCTCCCCGCTGAGCAGAGAGCCCGATGCGGGGCTCGATCCCAGGACCCTGAGATTATGGCCTGAGCCGAAGGCAGAGGCTTTAACCCACTGAGCCACCCAGGCGCCCCTACCCTATGAGTTTTTAAAACTATACTTGACTTTTGTTTTCATCACTCACAGATGCACATGATTTTAAGTGTCAGAAACTTAACATGGAAAACAGCAGGACCCGATCCACACCCCCACAGCACTGTGCACCCATTTTCATCTTCTGTGTACTTGTCTGCTTTGTATCTCCCAATCTGTAAGCAACATGCTTATATTCCTACTTTCTGACTTTTCAGGGTTAGACATTAATCAGATTCCCACCGTGGAAAGTGAAAATGTAGTTCTCTTTCACCGACATGCTCCACATGTCTCTCTCTCTCTCTCCCCCTACACACACACACACACACACACACACACACACACACACACCCCTTTATCAGGTTCTTTATCCATACATCAGTCAGTGGACATCTGGGCTCTTTCCGTAGTTCGGCTACTATGGACGTTGCTGTTATAAACATTGGGGTGCACATGCCCCTTTGGATCACTACGTTTGTATCTTTAGGGTAAATACCCAGTAGTGCGGTTGCTGGGTCGTAAGGTAACTCTATTTGCAACTTTTTGAGGAACCTCCATGCTGTTTTCCAGAGTGCCTGTCCCAGCTTACATTCCCACCAACAGTGGAGGAGGCTCCCCTTTCTCCGCATCCTTGCCAGCATCTGTCGTTTCCTGACGTGTTAATTTTAGCCATTCTGACTGGTGTGAGGTGGGATCTCATCGTGGTTTTGATTTGTATTTCCCTGATGCCGAGTGATGGGGAGCACTTTCCCATGTGACTGTTGGCCATGAATGTCTGTTTGTGTCTTCTGCCTATTTCTTAACTACATTATTTATTTTTTGGGTGCTAATTTTGATGAGTTCTTTATAGATTCTGAATATTAGTCCTCTATCCGCACTGCCATTTGCAAACATCTTCTCCCATCCTGTTGTCTGCCTTTTAGTTTTGATGACTGTCTCCTTCACTGTGCAGAAGCTTTGATCTTGAGGAAGTCCCAACAGTTCATTTTTACCCTTGCTTCCCTTGCCTTTGGCGATGTTCCTAGGAAGAAGTGGCTGTGGCTGAGGTCACGGAGGTTGCTGCCTGTGTTCTCCTCTAGGATCTGGATGGCTTCCTGTCTCACACTGAGGTCTTTCATCCATTTGGAGTCTGTTTTTGTGTGTGGTGTAAGGAGATGGTCCAGTTTTGTGCTTCCGCACGTGGCTGTCCCGTGTTCCCAGCACCATTTGTTGAAGAGACTCACTTTTTTCCATTGGACGTTGTTCCCTGCTTCGTCACAGATGCGTTGACTGTAGAGCTGCGGGTCCACGTCCAGGCTCTGTTCCATTCACCGGGTCTGTGCGTCTGCTTCCGGGCCGGTACCAGGCTGCCGTCTGCAGCTGACTTTTTTGTTTGCACCAAAAGTGTCCAGTATGACAGAAAACCCACAAAGCACCGTGAATGGAGAGAGGAGCAGAGACTGTCTGACATACAAATCCTGGAAAAAGCTACAAAAGATACATTTCAACGTCTTTCCAAAGCAAAGTACAACGACCTGTGTCTCAGCACTGCACTAAGTGGACAAGCACTGAAAAGCTCGGCCATCGGGACTTACCCATCAGCCAGCCTGAGGCAGACTGAACTCAGTCACTGTGCAGCTGGTAGTTCCCTCCGTGGTGCAGACGAAGCTGCCCTCAGAGGGGCTGACCCTGACCAGGGAGCCCCGGGAACACACAACCCGTGGTCTCCACGGGGGCCTGCTCGTTGAGAGCAGCGACTGCCCACCTTCTCCAGCCGGCCGGCTCAGCTGCGTGCCCCTCGGCCACCACCGGCGGCACCTCCCTCTCGCCCCACCGTGGAGACTTGGGGATGGGACGGGGCAGGGCAAGCGGGGTGGGATGGGAGATCAGGCTGGAGGAAGCGCGGCTTCCCGTGTGACGTGTGCCTCGGTTTCTCCAGCTGGGGAAGGGGGGAGAGGGGATGGGTCAAAGCCACAGGGCCACACGGGTTCCCGACTGTGAAGGCCCCACAGGGAGGGCCTCTGTCCCAGTTCTGACAAGCAGCAATTTCCTCGTGCTCCCCGTGCCTCGGTCTCCCCCGCCACCTGGAGGAACGCACTGGCCACGGCTGTTCACAGACCACGTGCCAACCGCCGGCGGAGGCCTCACCTCGGAGAGAGCCTGGCCGCTCCCCGAGCACCGGTCTCTGAGACGACCTCGCACACGGCTGCGCCTGCTGCTCACCAGCTCCGCTCCCCGCCGCCCGCAGCTCCTCAGAAACTTCCTCACTGCACCCTTGCTCTCATGCCTGCACCGCCGCTTCCTTTCTTCCCGACTCAGTGTTTGCTCGTCTCTTATTCAGTATCTCTCCGCCTCCCTGACGGGCTGCTGGCTGCCGTCCGCTTCAGTCCATGAGAACCAGCTGACGTTAGTAACGTCACAGTCAGGATCAAAAGGTGTAATTCTGTTCGCTGCACGAAATGAGATCAACGAAAAC